TGTGTGTGTCCCCCACCAGCTCACCCACTGTGGACCACCTATGTGTGTGTCCCCCACCAGCTCACCCACTGTGGACCACCTATGTGTGTGTCCCCCACCAGCTCACCCACTGTGGACCACCTATGTGTGCACCTCCCCCCACCAGCTCACCCACTGTGGACCACCTATGTGTGTGTCCCCCACCAGCTCACCCACCCATGGTGGACAACACATGGACACATGGGCCTTTCCTTCTATACAGCTGGTTCCTGACCACCTACCAGCACACCCCTGCCTGCCCACAGGCTGTCACCTGCCCCTCGGTGGAACTCAGGCCACCAGATTCGTCAGCGAGACTGTAACCAAGTCGGTGTTAAGGGCTATGGAGGTCCTCCAGACTTTGATCACAGTCCTACAACCTGTGACATAAGAATGACATAAGAATGAGTGGATGGGGCGAGGGTGGGTGGATGGGTGGGTGGATAAGTAGGTGGGTAGAGGGTAGATGCATAGATAGATGGGTGGATGGGTAGGTGGATAGTGGAGGGGGTGGGTGGATAGTGGAGGGGGTGGGTGGATAGTGGAGGGGGTGGGTGGGTGGGTGCATAGATGGATGAGTAAATGGATGGTAGAAGGATGGACAGATGAGTAGATGGGTGTGAGTGGGTGGATGGACAGTCAGAGTGGATGGGTGGTGGGTGGACGGGTGGGTGGATGCAAAGGTGTCCACAGTCCCCAAATCCCCAGATACCTGAAACTTATCCTGCCACTGAAAAGTGTCCCCACACCCCAGGGCCCTCCATCACAGCAGGTTCTAACACTGGGGACTGGCTTGTCCCCAGACCATCACACCAGGCAACACAGGGGACTGTCCTGTCTCCAGACCCTCACACCAAATGACAATGGGGACTGTTGTGTCCCCAGACCACCACACCAGGTGACAGTGGGGACTGTCCTGTCCTCAGACCCTCACACCAGGCGACACCGGGGACTGTCCTGTCCCCAGACCCTCACACCAAATGACAATGGGGACTGTCCTGTCCTCAGACCCTCACACCAGGCAACACAGGGGACTGTCCTGTCCCCAGACCATCACACCAGGCAGCAGTGGGGACTGTCCTGTCCCTAGACCCTCACACCAGGTGACACTGGGGACTGTCCTGTCCCCAGACCCTCACACCAGGCCACAATGGGGACTGTCCTGTCCACAGCCCCTTTACACCAGGTGACAATGGGGACTGTCTTATCCCCAGACCATCACACTAGGTGACAGTGGGGACTGTCTTGTCCCTAGACCATCACACTAGGTGACAGTGGCGACTGTCCTGTCTTCAGACCCTTCACACCAGATGACAATGCGGACTGTCTTGTCCCCAGACCTACATACCAGGTGACAATGGGGACTGTCTTGTCCCCAGACCCTTCTCACCTGGCAATAATGGGGACTGTGGTTTCCCCAGACCTTCACACCAGGTGACAGTGACCCACCACAGCAGGTCCTGACACTGGGGACTCTCCCACCTGCCCAGAACCTAGGCGTCACCTGGCACAGGGTCACCTGCTGCATCCCTGAGCTGGCTCCTCCCGGTCACTGAACAAGACTGGGGTACAGACCGGGAGGCCGGAGGGTTCTGCCCCCCCCCCCAGTGTCTGTGTCCCTGGCCACACACCTGGGGGTCCCGCGAGGCCAGCACCTGCTCCTCTGATCTTGCCTGTCTTCACAGCCAAGGGGCCACCTGGGAAGGAGAGGACGCGTGTGACTGGTGACTGGTCCACCCCAGCAGGTTGCCAGGTGAAGGGCCGGGAAGAGTCCAGGGCAGCTCCTGGTCCAGGGCGTGTGCCCTGCGTGACGGTAGGGGACAGGCAACGCACAGCCGTGTGGTGAACAGGGGAACCGAGTGGACGTCCCGCGGCCGTCCCGCTCTCCTCACCTGGCCCCAGCCCTGACCCAGCGCCTCCGCCTCCCGCAGCCTGGGCCTCTGGGGCGGGGTGCCCGGGACAGCAGCCGCCTCTGCGGTCGACCGCGAGGAATTCCCAGATCCGGGCAGCGCCACCCGGGGGGCCTCGGGGAGTCCACCTGGGAGCACAGGCCCCCGCTGACCCGCCCCCTGCAGCCCGAGTCCGCGCGGGGGAACCTGGGGTCCTGAGCGACGGGAACCCTGCGCCCCCTTCAGCTGGACTGCGCTGTCGCGGCCCGGCACCCGCCTGGCCCCTGCGCCCTGGAGGGACGCGACTGGCACCTACCTCCGGGCAGCGGGTTTCCGGCGGCTCCGGTCGGAGACTCCAGCACTTCCTAAGAGGCTCTGGCCGGCTGCCACCAGGGGCCGGCCGCCTCCCGCGGGGGACGGAGGCGTGGCCTCGGGAGCAGACCTGTCCCAGCGCGGCTCGGCCACCGCAGGCCCCGCCCCCAGCCCCGCCCCCAGGAGCCCGGCAGGGGTCCTCACCCAGGCAGGACCGGCGGGGCCCCGCGGGGTCCCCAGGGAGGGACAGCAGAGACCCCCCCCCCCCGGGGGACTGCACTGCCCACCCCCGTGGCTGCTGCTCACCAGGGTCACCCGAGCTGCCTGGGATTGCGACATCCCAGCGCCGGTGGCTTTGGATCTGTGAGCACCGCCTCAGCAAACTGCCGGTCCTTCCCTGGAGTGTTGACCTTCCCTGAAGTGAGGGCCTCTCCTCCTGAGTGGCCCCGGTGCTTGTCGCCGGAACCTGGCCCTTGTCCCCGAAGCCAATCCAACGAGCAGGAAGTGCTTTGGAGAAAAGGGAACACGGGGGTTTATGGCTTTGCTGGCCAAGAAGCACGACACTCGGGTCCCAGAGGTGGGGTCCTGCCCTCGCAGCAAAGGGCGTTGAAAGAGGGGACCCCGAGGCCGCCGTCCCTGGTCTCTGCTGAGCTGTCACCCACTGCTGACGGGGGCGATGGCCATTACTGAGGTCCTCTGGGGCCATCCCCAAAGCCTGGATGACTCCAGTCCTGTGGTGGGTGTGGGCTCAGGGACAGATACCTCTGCCTCGGAGGAAGCAGGAAGGTGACCCTGAGATGAGGGAGGGGACATCAGGGAGAGGAGGAGAAGAGCCCGTCCCCAGAGCAGCAAGGGCCATTCTCAAAGGTTGAGTTGTCACAGACCCAGGTGAGGACCAGGGGACACTTCCACACCCACAGCCCACCGGGACACCTTCACTCTGTGGGGCTCTTCTCTGGTCCAATATGGACACTGTGTGACATGAACCAGTGGTCACCAGGAACTGGCCACCACCTACTCTTGGAGTGACAGAGGTCAGTGGTCACCAAGGCCTGGTCACCACCTGCCCCGGGTGTGATGGAGGTCAGTGGTCACCAAGAATTGGCCACCACCTGCCCTTGGAATGATGGAGGTCAGTGGTCACCAAGGCCTGATCATCCGTTGTCCCTGCCATGGGAATGACATGTAATGTGGTCACCAAGGCCTGGATCGTCCTGCCCTGGTGTGACATGTGACGTTGTCACCAAGGCCTGGAATCATCCGTTGTCCCTGCCCTGGGAGTGAATTGTGACGTGGTCACCAAGGCATGATCATCCACAGCTGGAGCCTCCTGCCCGTGTGACGTGTGACCGTGGTCACCGTGGGGGGCCATCCGTTGCCCGGGCTCTGCGTGGCTGGGTGCTGACTGGCGGGCGGTGTCCCTCAGGTGTGCCCAGCCCCGTGGGCGCCGTCCTGTGCTGCCAGCTCGGGGTTGGGAAACGGCCTGACTCAGCAGCCAGGTGTGCGGGCGAGAGGAAGCCTCCGTGCTTCTCCAGGGACGGAGGAGGGAGTGCCCGCTGGACTTCCGCAGTGGACAGCACTCCTCTCCTGGAGGACCCCGTGAGCTGGCCCTCAGCCCTGCCCTGGGCCGGCCGTGGGCAGTGACACCCTGGAGGCCCTGGGCAGCGTGAACAGAGCCCGTGCATGTCCACAGCCCGAGGCCGTCCCTGCTAGGAGGACCCTGCCCGCTGGCCTGGCTGCCGGGCAGTGGACATGGGCATCCTCTGCTCTCTGGAGGTCCAGTGACTGATGGGAAGTGCTTCTTGCTGGCACCGCTTGGACACTGGCTCACCCACCGTCCCCCAGACCACAGCTCTTCAAGGGCCGGGTGACTCTACAAAGCAGGAAGTGTCCCGTGCAGGTGGACATCTGGACAGGTCTGGCCAGCGATCTGCCCCCCGCCGTCCACACCACAGCACCCCTGACCAGAGCCTGGGGTATCCAGAGCCACCAGGGCGGTTCCAGGTGGTGTGAGCTGCAGTGTGTCCACGATCTCTCAGCCTCCGCAGGGGCGGTCAGCAGGGCCACCAGGGCCAGCGTTTCTCCTGCCAGCAGTCCACATGGCAGGAGCTGACTTGGTGCTGGCCATCCACAGCTGCACATGGCCTCCTGACCCTCCACTGCCACACGTGGCCCCCTGGACCCTCCACAGCCACCATAGCATCCCTTGGACACTCCACAGCCACACATGGCCCCCTGGACCCTGCATAGTCCCACGTGGCCCCTTCGTACCACACGACCACAACCCAGCCACGTAGGGCGGGCGTGGCCAGCGGAGCCCTAGCCAGGCTCATGAGGTGAGAAGTGCATCCTCTGCCTTTCTTCACGGTGCTGGGGACAGAGCACTGCGAGGCCCCGAGGGTCACCCCCGACCCACACGGCAGACTGTTGGTCGCACTGGCCCCTCCGAGCCCACCCTGTGCTGGACTGGCTCCTGGACTTCCCAGGCGTGGTACTGGGGGCTGCTTTGCCACTGAGCTGATCTCCAGCCCTTTCCATGTTTACTTTGAGAGAGAGTCTCTCCAAGTTGCTGAGGCTGGCCTCCAACTTGTGATCCTCCGGCCTCAGCCTCCCACGTGGCTGGGATTAGGGCCCTGCAGCACCGCGTCCGCCCACCCCCGTGGATGTACTCTGCGATCTCTGGTGCTGCTTGGCTCCTGCTGTGGTCCTGGTGAAGTGTCCGGCTTTCTCTTGCCTGGACGTCCCAGCAGGGTTGAGCCCACCTCGTGACTGTCTGCTAGCGCCAGCCTCCTCTGCACGCAGTCCCGGCCGGCACCCCCAGAAGTGTCCGAGTGAGGTTCCACAGCTGCTTCCTGGGGCCCCGGGGCAGCTCGGTGACAGGAGGGTGACTGTGCACCTGAGGAGCCTCGGGCAGTGCCACACGGTGACCCTGGATGCCTCCCAAGCGTCTCAGCCCAGTGGGAGGACTGGGAGGAGGCAGAGTCCACCTGCCAGCTGCCTCCTCCATCCAGCGTGCCCCGGTCACTGCACACCCTGAGCCGGCCCTCCACTGTGCACGTCCAGGGTCCCTCCCCGGGCACTCCTGGTGCAGAGGAGACCGGGAGGCTGTGGGAGGCGGGAGGTGACCGGCAGCTCTTGCTCAGTGTCCGACGCAGGCCTGGGGACAGCAGGCTGCAGACTGCGGGTGCTTTGGTGGGGGGCGTTCGCAGGTGCGTAATGAAGCACCTTGGGACCCACCCGGGTCCAGGCACGACCCCTCTATGCTCCTCACCCACCTCGGATGCGGAGATCCTGCAGGTGGCCCCAGGGGGCTGCGTCTGGCTGGGCCCTTCCCCCGAGGTCAGTGTGCAGCTGTCCTCTGGTGGCCACTCAGGAGCTGGAGCGGCCAGGGCCTCTGGGCATCGTGGATGGGGGCTGGGGGCTCGACACTCATGTCACTGCAGCCAGAGGAGGGCTCGGTCAGGGTCAGGTTGGGGGGCTGGACCCTAACCCCGACCCTAACCCCACCATGGCCTGGCTCTAGGGAGAATGGGGACACGGGAGCCAGGAATGACGCCTGGCAGGGGTCAGTGTGGGGCCTCTCCTGGGACACCCGAGCCCAGGCCCGTCTGTCCTGCAGGCCACCTCTCATTGCCCTGAGGACCCGCAGACGGGCCAGGTGGGGGACATGTCCTCCCCAGGGAAGAGGATGACCCTCAGCTCCACCCTCAGGATGTACTCCTAGGTGCTGCAGCCAGCCTGTGTCCAAGCACCCCCTGGACGGCAGTAACAGGTGACCACTGCAGCCAGCCTGCGTCTGAGCACCCCTGGACAGCAGTGAAGGGTGTCCACTGGAGCCAGCCTGTGTCCAAGCACCCCCTGGACGGCAGTAACAGGTGACCACTGCAGCCAGCCTGTGTCCAAGCACCCCCTGGACGGCAGTAACAGGTGACCACTGCAGCCAGTCTGCCCCTGAGCACCCCTGGACAGCAGTGAGGGGTGTCCACTGCAGCCAGCCTGCATCCAAGCACCCCTGGACAGCAGTGAGGGGTGTCCACTGCAGCCAGCCTGCGTCCGAGCACCCCCTGGACGGCAGTAACAGGTGACCACTGCAGCCAGCCTGCCCCTGAGCACCCCTGGACGGCAGTGAGGGGTGTCCACTGGAGCCAGCCTGTGTCCAAGCACCCCCTGGACAGCAGTGAGGGGTGTCCACTGCAGCCAGCCTGTGTCCAAGCACCCCCTAGACGGCAGTAACAGGTGACCACTGCAGCCAGCCTGCGTCCGAGCACCCCCTGGACGGCAGTAACAGGTGACCACTGCAGCCAGCCTGCGTCCGAGCACCCCCTGGACACCAGTAACAGGTGACCACTGGAGCCAGCCTGCGTCCGAGCACCCCCTGGACGGCAGTGAGGGGTGTCCACTGCAGCCAGCCTGTGTCCGAGCACCCCCTGGACAGGCCTGGAGGGCAGGAACAGGTGTCCACCGGAGCCAGCCTGTGCTTCCACTGGACGGGCCTGGAGGGCGGGAGTGTGTGCTCACTGGCGGATCCGGCCCGGGGCAGGGCTGATGCAGGAGCTCAGCCAGCGCTCGTCCCGGGGGCAGCGTGAGCACCAGCTAGTGCCCAGAGCCGGGCGAGACACAGGGACCCGGAGTCACGTGGGCCCAAGTGGCTGGCCCAGCGTCCCCCACCAGAGACCACGGCTGGCTCCACTCGGGAGACCGGGAGGTCGTGAAGCAAAGGGCGTGTGAGCTGCTGCAGACGCTGGCCAAGGGCACGAGGGGCCACTGCCCAGGCCAGCAGAGCCCTGGTGCACGAGGACCCCTCCCAGGAGGCCGTCAGTGGGGGCTGCCGAGGGGAGGGCCCAGGACATCTATGGGTCCCAGGGAGGGCCAGGGCAGCTGAGGGTCCCAGGGAGGGCCAGGGGCAGCCGTGGGTCCCAGGGACGGCCAGGCACGGTGCCCTCTGAGGGGTCCTAGGCACGGCAGGGCGGCTGCGGGTCCCAGGAGGGCAGAGGCGGGGGCTCTCAGGTGGCCCCTAGCCCTCTCCACAGGAGGAGCTCTCCACACTGTGACGTCCAGAGCCCCCCCACCCCCAGGTCTGTCCCCA